GCTGTTTTGCCGAAATGGATTTCGTTATAGCAAAGTTGGAAGACCAATATCAATATCAATAAATCATCTACGTAGAAGTCCCTTTTAATAATAGCCGCACCTACTGGGTGCGTTTTGCTGTGTAAATCGGCAATGTGAAACAAACTACGGATTGCTAAGAATGGGGACATGCTAAACCATAAGTAACGGTATTGAGCTCGAACATTTGAAGGGGCTCATCTTCTTTATTTCTCCAAATAATTAATTGAAACTTCCGATCATCCTTTTCGACAAGAAATTGGCGATACATTTTAGATATATCGGCTGTGATCGCAAACCGATGCAAACGAAAAGACAAAAGCGTTATAAAGGGTGATTTTTTTGAGGTTAGGATTTTCATGCATTAGTATTTGACAGATCACGTGGGATTTCAGACATGGTGTCAAAGAGAAAGATGCTCAGTATGCTTTGACATTTCATCATGAATAGACTTACTAACGAGCAACGCTTGCAAATCATTGAATTTTATTACCAAAATCAGTGTTCGGTTCGAAATGTGTTTTTATCGACAAATTTTGTTCAGCGATGAGGCTCATTTCTGGTTGAATGGCTTCGTAAATAAGCAAAATTGCCGCATTTGGAGTGAAGAGCAACCAGAAGCCGTTCAAGAACTGCCCATGCATCCCGAAAAATGCACTGTTTGGTGTGGTTTGTACGCTGGTGGAATCATTGGACCGTATTTTTTCAAAGATGCTGTTGGACGCAACGTTACGGTGAATGGCGATCGCTATCGTTCGATGCTAACAAACTTTTTGTTGCCAAAAATGGAAGAACTGAACTTGGTTGACATGTGGTTTCAACAAGATGGCGCTACATGCCACACAGCTCGCGATTCTATGGCCATTTTGAGGGAAAACTTCGGAGAACAATTCATCTCAAGAAATGGACCGGTAAGTTGGCCACCAAGATCATGCGATTTGACGCCTTTAGACTATTTTTTGTGGGGCTACGTCAAGTCTAAAGTCTACAGAAATAAGCCAGCAACTATTCCAGCTTTGGAAGACAACATTTCCGAAGAAATTCGGGCTATTCCGGCCGAAATGCTCGAAAAAGTTGCCCGAAATTGGACTTTCCGAATGGACCACCTAAGACGCAGCCGCGGTCAACATTTAAATGAAATTATCTTCAAAAAGTAAATGTCATGGACCAATCTAACGTTTCAAATAAAGAACCGATGAGATTTTGCAAATTTTATGCGTTTTTTTTAAAAAAAAAGGTATCAAGCTCTTAAAAAATCACCCGTTATTAAGTTCCTGTTGAATAGTTGCTCCTACCATTAGTATTTCATTAAGCGATTTACATGATGATGTGCTTGCCGAGCCATCGAAAACTACACGCAACTTTGTTGTTGTACTCTCTGGTCGCATGACGCAATGGTGTGGTATCACAAAATGTGGGTTGCTTAACTCAACATCGACTACGCGCGACATATGTCCCAAATCTTCATATTCCTTCATAAAGTTCTCATACATTTGCTTCAATTCAGTATTACGGCTCAAACGGCGCTCGAGCAGTAGAAACCTTTTCTTGGCGTTTTCATATGAGTTGCCTAATACAGAAGGTGCGGTTTTGAATGGTAAGCGGACTTGTATTCGACCGTTGTTGAGAACGGTCACGTTTTTAAGAAAATGTTTCTCACAATAAGACTCTTCTTCTGATAGAACTGGATTAGATTGCGGGAACTCTTCAATTTCCCAAAATCGCTTGAGAATATCATCTGCCTTAGGTGACTCTGCGTTTACAGCGATATTGCAAATGAATGCAGAATCGTTTGTTGAATGTTCAATTACCCCACCTGCGATCCAACCAAAAGCCGTGTTTTGTAAGCAAGGTAGGCCAGGACCGAGGGATATTTTGCCATCTTGAAGGCAAGCAAAAAATAACTCTGTGCTTAGTAGCATCTCAATACGCTGTGGCTTAAAAAATAAGGGATCCGCAAGACAGATCCCATCGGGAATATTAAAGTTACTTGTATCAATATATTGAAGCG